ACAGCCGGCGTCACAGGAGAGGTCTGCTGAGTCATGTGGGTCACCTCCAGGGCCAGGAATCGGGCTCACACTGAAGTGGCTGGTGCCAGCTTGCAGTGCTGTGTCGTAGCCTGTTGCGCCACCAGGGAGGGCCAGATCCAGGGGTTCTTCTGGGATCTTTGCTTTGATGATAATCGGATGGGCAGCCTGAACACTGGGTCCCCTGCCCAGGCCTTCACTGTGATCTCAGCCAACTGGGAGGCCTCCTGGCAGGCAGGAGGTAGTGCCAGCCCTAGGCCAGGTTTGGGGGGTGGTGGGGTATCTGACTGTCCAGTTGCCACTGAGACTAAAGCCCACCTTCCCTCTGGCATGGCGATGATAACTTTTTGCAGAGTGAAGATTGGAGGGCAGCTCCTGGCTCCCGCGTGCAAGCACACCTGCAGGGATGCTGGCATGTTGCCATTTTGCTGTTCTTCCCTCACTTCTCTGAAATCCTCTACTAGCTTGTGGTAGAGGCCATAGCATTTGCCTATTGGGAGCTGATGTTAGGGTTTCTCCCTCATCCACGTTCTCTCCTCAGGCAGTTCCTCCTCTCCCCTTAGGTGCCCACTCTGCCTGCCCTGGCCTCTTCTCCTCTTCTGTTCTTTCTCCAGTGGGGCTCAGTCCCCCCCCCCCGCCTTTACCCAAAGGATTTCCAAAGGGTGCTGGAGCTGTGGTCCCCGTGCGGAAGCCTCTAAGCCTTGCTCGTCCTCTCCTCCACTGGTAACGTGATTCCCAGTCTCTGCTGCTCAACCCCTAAGCTTCCCAGCTTGATTGCAAGCCTTGTGGCCAGTGAGCCAGCCCCTGTCCCTTGTGGCACCCTAGTGCCTGAGCGCTGGTGGGGGTGACCCCTCCATGGACCTACCTCAGTTTCTGCATCTGTGAAAAAGGACTAGGACTAAAGGCACCTTCCTTGGAGTCTGTGATGGGGGAAGGGGTGGGAAACCACCGTGAGCTTGCACAAGTCCCTAAGCCCCTCCCAAGATGAGTCAATGCCCCCAGTGCCTCCCAGGCCAGCAAACCGCATGGAGCAGTGGGCAGACACTCCCCCACAGTGAGTAGGCAGCAGATCGGAGCCACATCTTATGTAATGGGAGATGGGCCGATAGCGGTGCTGGAGGTGCGGGAGGGGGTTGAGGGTGCAGTTCTGAGGCCGGGGAGTGAACCGCAAAGGTGGAAGTGGTGGCACAACAAAGGCAGGCACTGGATGAGCACCC